TTATTTATTTTTGAGGCTGGTGTCTTTGTCTAACAGCTCTGGCTGTCCAGGAACTGCTCTGTTCAATGTCTGACTTCAATGTCACAGAAATCCACCTGCCTCTGCCTCCCAAGTGCTGGGATTAAAGGTGTGTGCCACCACCGGTCGGCTGCTGTGAATTTAAGACCAGCCCACTACAGAATAAGAATGGAGACCTTTGCGGGACAACAGCAAAGAACTTGGAGTAGCTGCCATCCGTCATGGTGCTGGGGGACAGGAAGTCCTTTGCAGTCCTCACTTGGACTGACTGCCTTTCCAAGGATCAAGGCTTTCCTCAGACGGTCTCACCATTCCCTCCCCTCCTTTCTGCAATCTACTGTCATAGGCCTCCAAGTGTTGTGAGCCCAGTGGAAATGTAGGTGAGAATCATAACCCTGTAGTACTCACTAACAATAGGCTGTGGAATGGCTTAAGACACAGTGAAGAAGGAATGAGGAGTTGGGCTTTAGGGTCTAAGAATCCTAAAGTTGTTTTTCAAGTGGCCAAGCCATTGGCATCAAGCCTGTGCAGGAGGTTCATGTTGGCTCCTATGGCATGTCCACTCCATCCAGAGTGGGTCAGGCGGCCTCGTCATCCTTGCTGACACTAACCCTTCCCATCAGACTAGGCTCTTAGAGCACTGACCTGGCCTCCCAAGCACAGATGGCATCCTCCTGTAGTCTAAGCAGCTTAGTGACTTCCTAGTGTCCTACATGGGGCCTGATGCTTATGTGCCACTCATTCCTGCTGACCCCCTGAAGACAGCTGTCCTACAAGTGCTTACCTTCCTAACATAGTCTGTGACCTCAAATCCTGTCTCCAAGTCAGTGCTGTGTCTGATGGGTTAGCGTGAGGCGAAAGCATTTGGCAGAAAGTCTGAAGCTTGCTTGACAAACTAATGAACTTGGAAGAGTTTCTAACTCCTAGGACTCCCTGTCAGGCCAAGCAACCTGAACTGTTCAATGAGCTTCCTCTCTAAATGTACGGGACTATTCTACAGAAGTCCAACCTATGGCCTTGGTCTGCAGCGGGGACTAAGCCAAAGGACCCAGGCTCCTCAGGAGGCTCCAGCTAGCTAGGTCTGTGGCTGGATGAAGTGTTTAAGGAATGCACTGTATCCTGGTGGTTCTAGTACAAATTTGCACATCTCCAAAGAGATTGAGGGTATAGTGAACACAGCCAAGGGTGAGACATGCTCCTTACATAGATTATAAGCCAGGTGCCATCTCTGTGCCAGTGAGTGCCTGGTGAGTGGGCAGAACAAGTTGCTAGTGGGGGTACTGCCACTGGCACAGTTTGTGACTGCACACTGCAGAGTGTGAGGACACGCATGCCTTCTGACAGTGGCTGTCTTGAGGGAGGGACCGTGCCTGTTTTATGTATTTCCATATCGGGGCTCCCTTATCAATCATTAGCTGTTGCTGTTTCTTCAGAAAGCTAAGTAAGGTTTTACACACCCAGGTAAATGAGAAAGGGAAGAGTCTTAAGACATTTATTTAGAAGGCTTGGCTTTGACAAAACACATCCCCTGAATTTGTATAGCTACACAGACCTTAAGTGCACCAGAGGCAAGTACGTTCCAGCTGTCTATACCATGTGTACTGAGGTGGAACATGAGATAGACCTAATGAAGCCTGCTGCGACCTGACAGAAAGGAGCCCCTATTCTCCACCATCAGGTAAATGCTCTTTCCCACACATGATTAGGTTTGTAATCAAATCAGGCAACTTAGATGGGGCTTTAAATCGCAGGGGTTTGCTTAAGGTGTTTAGGACATATCACCCCTATATACAAGACCAGTGTGGATGGTGCTGCAATGCAGTAATCTATACATCACTAAAACTCTTGGCTTTGGAATGCCACTACAGCCCGGGCCCCTTTCCGCATGTCACTGCCGTGAACATTTCTGGGACCCTCCAGAAAGAGACTCCCCTCTTTACCCTGGATCTGACCCATTTTGTATCAGGCAAGCAACTCATGGGAGCTGGGGGACGTCTCCCCGGCTTCCCTTTTGTTTGGAAGCATTGTGAGTGCCAAGTCCTGGGCAGTGAGGGGCACGTCTAGGTACCAGCTGTTGGTTGATAAAGGGCTGGGTGATATTCTTGGGTGTTGAGTTTTTATACCACAGCTTGATCTTCACATCCATCAAGGATCCTCTCCCTGGGATTACATGACTGAGCAAAACTTAGACTGGCCGGTGTCCCTAGAGACTCCAAGCTGGTTTTTGTCTCGAACTAAGATGGCGTCATTTCCATACTGGGAATACCACATGCTACGACTCCTGCTCAGGTATGTACTGGGTGGTACAGACTCCAACTTCTGCTGCTGCTGTTGCCAAATGAGCAAGGAAGTGTCCCTGTACCGGAGGCGGGCAAAGTGTTCTGACAGGGCCTTCTCTGCCAGGGGGACCCGACCACTCATTCCCCAGCCCCAGGCTCTTGCACACCTGGTTTTCCTCCTAGGTCAGGAACAGCTGGCTGCTTTGCTCTGTTAACTAGTTGCCCAAGAGCCTTGATGGCTGTTGGGTTAAGGAGCTCTTGTTCAACTTAGTCATGGAAGTAGGCAACTCAGATCTTACATAGGCAAAATCTCAGGAGGGCAGGGGAAGCCAAGACATCTCTGACCCGGTTCAAAAGCCATGTATGTGAGAGTCATTCCAGACAGAAAGTGGGTCAGATTGGCGCTGTGGTCCAAACTGCACAATAGAGTTCTATAGACTTGGCAGAGACTCCACACCACTCTGGGTGGCCTGTCAGGTGTCCACTGCCTCTGCAACACTTCTGAACTCAAAGAGACATATCCAGGATCCTGAGAGAACGGGCATCGTACAGTCTACAGAAGGTGCTGACCAGTCCACACTACTCAACGCAGTTGGGATCTGGACTTAGTGCTGGTTCAAGTCCTTTTCTTCTAGCTACTCTTCTACTCTTAACATGGGTGATACTGCAAAGGGAAGAAGCTGTCGGGCATCGGGATCAGGCCCAATACGGGCCTCGCCATCAGTAGCAGCCTGGATGGGGTAGAGTTCAGTGAAGTTACTCACGGATGCGGTCGGCTGAGCTGGGTGGAAGGGTGAGGCGTGTGGGCAATCGCAGGTCCCTTAATAACCCACGGATGCTTAGTGGTACCAGGGTGTCCGCTGGTGAGAGAAGCGTCCCTCAAATACAGAGCAGAACTCCTGGGAGGAGGGAGGATGCAAGTCCCACGCCCCTCGCCTCTGCTTCTGGCAAAAGTATAGCTTGCCCAGCCCTGTCCAGACGTTCCAGCAGAGTAGCCTACCCGACCAGCGCTCGTGGACACGCGTGGGCCGGGTGACGCAGGTGCTCCAGGTCCGGGGTGGGTCCAGTAGGCCGCGGCTACGTCTCCATGGCAGCGTCGCAGGCGTGGTGAGTCGAGCGCCGAGGACCGGCTGCCTACGGACCCATCGATCACTTCACTCCGCGAGGCGGGACGGACGACCCAGAGGGAGAGGCGGAGTTGCCCGAGAGGGATAGGGAAGGGAAGTGGGAGGAGGAACTGGAAAAAAGGAGGAACAGAAAAGGTGTTGGGAAGAGGGTGAGGAGGAAATCTAGAGGGAGGGGAGAGAGGAGGAGCCGGTGTAAGGAGACGTCAAGAAGAGCAAAATCCAGAATGAGAGGCCTGGAGAGATCCTGAGAAAGTGTGTGTTTGGGGGAGGGGAAGACGTACTAGGAGATGGGAAGGAGCTGAAAGAGGCAGGATGAGAGGAAAGGAGCAGGGAAGAAGCAGAAGGAAGTAGGATGGGGAGGAGAGGATGAGGATTGAGCCGAGGAGCCTGAAGAAGCGGAGGAGGAAGGAGGAAGGGGCGTTTGGGGAGGAAAGGGACATTGCGGGAGTCGGTGGAAGAGGTGGTAAAGACAAAGGGAGAAGCCAGAAGAGAAAAGATGGCTGGGGAAGACAGAGGAGTCAGGATAAAGGAGTGGGCGGGCGGGCGGGCGGACGGGGGCGCTCTGGAGCCTAAGAGCTGGGGAGAACTTGGGGGCGGGGTTTGAGGCGGAGCCTGGAGAGGGAGGAGCTGCTGGGGAGGAGGCCTGGAGGAGATGCTGAGGAAGAGCAGGCATTAACATTAAGGCACCTTCCCAGTCCTGATGCCGTTATAATGGTTCCTGTGGCTTTTCTTTATGTTTGGGTTGGGGTGTTGGTGCTAGGCAAGTGCTCCAAGTGAAGCGTCGTCCTCGGTTTTATTTCCTTTTATGCAGTTACTTTGTCAGACCTATTGCGGTTACTATCGACATCCCACTCAAATAATGGGCGTTTGTTCTCAGTGTAGTCACTGTTGCCTGGGGTGTATCGTTTCAAAGGCAGCTATGTAACTCCATCACTTCACATACTGTTCATTTGAATTATTCATTTGAATTCCTAACAGCCCCAGAGGAATTCCTCAGCACTCACCTCTGCACTCTTCCAATTAGACCCCAGCAATGTACTTTGACCCCGTGTCCATCGTTTTCCTTCATAAAGTTATTTTCACAGTTTTCCCCAATGCAAGAATATTGACATCAGCCGGGAGGGAGGGTGAAGGGTGGGATGATGGTGGCCGGCACATGGGAGGCAGAGGTAGGCAGATCTCTGAGTTT